GTGTGTCAGTGCACGCGTGTAAAGTGCGCAACCGGGTATGCATTTCGTGTAGGTAGTACATACGCAAGTGAGTAAACTCACGCAACCCACGACACACTCGTATGTCGCGCATTTGCCTTATCACCGTCAGAAAACAAGCTTCGAGGTCCGTTCTTCGAAATATTCGTATTTGCATTTGCGATTCTCGTCGATGATGATGTAACGATCGTGAGAAAGAAGAAAGAATTTCTCCGCCCAATAAAAAATCTTCGTTAAATGACATGACGCATAAATGTTTAATTTATTTGTCTACATTATAAAAAGTAAATAGCGTAGATTTAACACCATGGGTTTTAAATCTACATTATGATGGTGTTAATATAAGCAACAAGGGTTAATAAATTCAGAAATCTCAATGCCAATTTTAAGAGAACAACACATTTTTTACTTGTATTTTCCTCTTGTTTCGTCAGCACGCTAAGATTTTTCGTTGTTTACACTTATTTTACACTTATTTTTATATAATAGATAATGGATTCAAAACTAGAATATTTTGACAGCAACAAATTAGCAACAAATTTCTACGTTATCTTTAAATAGATTGGCTTTATTATATATACAACGTTCTGTTAACTTAATCTTCTTTAGCGGAACATCATTTTAAAAAACTGAAAAAGTAATAAATTATTTTCTTTGGTAACCTTTCAGCAACAAATGAACAACAAATAAAAATGTTTGTTAAAATTAATTTTGCTCGTTGTGTTCCGCTAACTTATAAGACGTCAGAAAACAGATACGCTTACTTTTAGCACGTGTTGATGAGAATTGTATGATCACATTTAGTGTTAAATGTGAGATACGTCTCTGACAACATTTTTATCTCGTGTATATGGTACATATGATTTCGTATCGAGAACATGTGTAACATAGCGGACATGTGACTGGTGAATGAGCTTATTGCAACACGTGACAGAATGGACCCCAGTTTATGAATAGATTATTATGATTTTACGTCGTCACTCCCCCTTGCAACGAATGCGTCATACTCTGTGAAACTGTCCAGTGGTCACTTTCGATTACGACTATACAAATGTATATCTTTTATAACGTGTATTAATTTGATGCAAAAGATTTGTACCAAAATTTTATCACAGGATATTAACTCACTAAATATGATTTAAAATTAAATTATCAAAGCAATTGTCATTAAGCAAAGAAGTATAGTTTCTGTTGACTGTGTGTAACATGCTTTTTTTTTAAAAAAAATCGATTCTTTGAAAAAAAAAACTTTAAATGTCAAAATTTTCAAACCGCATTTTAATAAAAATTATTTTTTTTATCAATTTAATGCACAAAAAATATTTATAACATTTTTGATATTTGTGTTTTATTAACGAATAAAAACAAGAATTATTTTGTATAAATAATTTTGAGAAATGGACAATTTAGAGATATAAAAGATACATATAATTGATTTTAATTATAAAGAGTTTTAATTTTATAGTTTTATAATATTGATTAGCTTTTTTACATTCATATTAGTTGAATCGCGAGAGAATTGGGCAGTAATAGGATCTCTTCTCCATACCATCAGTGTCTGTGCGGTTCGAGATAATGAAAGCAGTCAATCAACTCTTGTTGGCGCGGAACTAGTTAACCGATGTTACTAGCGATTTCATTTCTACGCTCTCAGCAAGCGCTTAACTGAACCTTACAGGACTAACCGCTTGTTTGAAGACTTCGTCGATCAATTGCGTGATAATGGCGGTGTAATTAGATATCGGAAATCCACCTCATTGTGGATTCAATTGTCTTCAGATCAGACAGTTAAATCTATATAGAAACTTGGAAAACAAAAATGCTATATCGTGTTAATATCAATGAATGTATAATTATTAAAAATATATGTGATATGTGTAAGCTTATAAATTTTTTTATAATTATGAAAAAATATTTTATTTCATGACGAATGTATTTCTTAAAATTTTATCAGATTCAACATTTCCTTGTTAATTACTACAACATAATTTTTTCCATAAAAGCAGATATAATGTAAAAAACAATCAATTTTAATTGCATTTTCAACCATCTATTTATATTTTTCGTCATATTTCTTTTATAAATCCGAGACCACATTTATTTATTTTGATCCAGAAGCATATAAACATTTAAAACAAACAGCTCTGTCTCTCTCTCTCTCTCTCTCTCTCTCTCTCTCTCTCTCTCTTGATAATTCAACAACTTATACGCTTAATTATATCTTGACTCATAGATAGTTTCGGAATAACAAAACATATTTCACAGCATTCTTGTTTATATATATATATATATATATATATATATATATATATTTTCTTTTTAA